CCTGATAAAATTAAAGCCACTATAGATTTAAAAGGCGAAAAAAAGACCATTACCTGTACCCATGTACTCCTCGCATCAGGCAGAGCACCTCAAACAACAGCCTTAGGCTTAGAGAATACGACTGTGGAATGTGATCCGCATGGCTTTATTAAGGTGAATGAATTTCTGGAAACCAAAGCATCAAATATATATGCTTTAGGAGATGTAAAAGGTGGACCAGCCTTTACACATATTTCATATAATGACTATATTGTAGTCACCAGGAATCTTTTGGAAGGAAGTAAAATGAGTATTAAAGACCGTATGATTCCCTACTGTATGTTTACTGATCCTCAGCTGGGCCGGATTGGCCTGACCGAAACGCAGGCTGCAGCACAGGGAATCGATTATCTGGTTGCTAAAATTCCAATGCGAAATGTAGCCAGGGCGATTGAAAACGCTGAAACCAGAGGTTTTATGAAAGCTGTGGTTGATAAAAAAACTAAACAAAATTCTAGGCGCAACAATCATCGGTGAACAAGGAGGAGAGATTATGTCTATTTTGCAAATGGCAATGATGGGTAAGATCACTTATGAAGAAATAAGATTTACCATTTTTGCACATCCATTATACGCTGAATCCCTCAATAACTTATTTATGTCAATCGCTTAAATGATTAAAGCAGAAAATCTGATCAGGAAATTTGGTAATTCAATTGCCGTTAATGATATCAGCTTTGAGGTAAAAGAAGGGGAGAACCTGATTTTATTAGGCACAAGCGGCTGTGGTAAAACAACTACACTGCGCATGATCAACAGGCTGATTGCCCCTGATTCAGGAACTATTTTCCTGGATGGGGTTGATATCAGTACGCGGCAGCCAGAAGAATTAAGACGTGGAATAGGGTATGTATTACAGAACCACGGTCTTTTTCCGCATTATACCGTCGCTGAAAACATTGCTATTGTACCCAGATTGCTGAAATGGAAAAACGAAGATATCCGTAAAAGAGCAGATGAATTATTTCAAAAGTTAAATCTTGATCCCGTTTTAGCAGACAAATACCCGGCAGCTTTGAGCGGCGGACAACAACAAAGGGTAGGTCTGGCCCGGTCATTAATGGTTAATCCACCGGTATTATTAATGGATGAGCCTTTTGGCGCATTAGATAATTTAACAAGAATCAGTATTCGTAAAGAGTTTAAAGCGCTGGATGAACTGATTAAAAAGACGGTGGTTATGGTTACGCATGATGTACAGGAAGCCTTTGAAATGGGCGACCGGATTTGCCTCATGGACAAAGGTGAAATCAAACAAATCGGAACTCCTGAAGATTTACTTTTTAATCCTGCAAATGACTTTGTAGCTGATTTCTTTAAAGAACAACGTTTACAGCTGGAATTGAAATCTGTTTTGATCGCTGAACTATTGCCTGGTTATTCAGACCAAAAGGTTACAGTTTGGGAAAAAATGGAGGAATTGCTTCAGACAGGCCACAATGAGGATGCTGTTGGTATGGAAGACTTGATGCGTGCTTTTTCAGCTTATAAAAAACAATAATATGGAGCAGGCACAAAGTTTCTGGGAGTTCATTGGGCAGCAGTCCGATAAATTATGGAGTCAGACCTGGGCACATATAGGGCTTACTTTGATTTCACTCCTGATTGCAATCCTGATTGCTGTTCCAGTAGGCATCCTGATCACCAGGAAGCAAAAACTATCTGGTATTGTATTAGGAGTAGCTGGTATTTTACAAACTATTCCAAGTATTGCCTTGCTGGGTGTGCTGATTCCTTTCTTGGGTATTGGCCCGAAACCAGCTATTCTTGCGTTATTTCTTTATGCCCTGCTGCCGATTATCAGAAATACCTACACTGGTATTATGGAAGTAAACCCTGCGGTTGTTGAGGCGGCTAAAGGAATGGGGATGAGTAAATGGCAGATCCTGATGAAAGTTGAATTGCCTCTGGCCTTTCCTGTGCTCATGGCCGGTATCCGGACTGCTACAGTAATTAATGTAGGGGTTGCGACTTTAGCGGCCTATATTGCTGCGGGTGGTTTAGGAGAGTTTATCTTCGGCGGTATCGCTTTAAATAACGCTAATATGATCTTGGCTGGGGCTATTCCTGCCGCTTTATTAGCTATTATACTGGACTTTCTATTGTCACTCGTTCAAAAACTGAATCTGAAGAGTATTCGTATCTCTTACCTGGTACTTCCTTTTGCTTTTGATTTACACTTGTAGTTTCTTTTCTA